AGGCTCGGCTCCAGCTGTCCAATGGAACCGTGGCTCTGCAGTTCTCTGATCCCAGGTGCTGCTTGGAATTCCAGTAACATTTCAATATGTTACCATAACATTTAACAACAGGCATTGCAAAGGCTATAATTTGAGGTCAACTGTTAGCCCTCTCCAGGGCTGCCTCTTTTTCCCTCTTACCAGGAGACTGAAATTTAGGTATTGTTGGAAACATTTTGCTTTTTTGCATCAATATCTGCTGGTAGGTTCCTCCCACGTTAAGATTGTGTAATTTGGCACAGAGTTAAGAGTTAATGTTCAAACACGGTGAGTTGCTCCTTTTCTGAGGCTCTCCATTCTTTGGCCCTTAACCAAACAAGGGCTATTTAGCACCTTGCCAGCGAGTTTCCTGTTTAGGAAACTGTTAACACGAACTTTATGGGCGTTTTTCTTAGCAAAACATGTTTTTATGTGCACTTGCTGTGAAATAACAGTTATTACCACAAGTGTGCATCTCAGTCTCCCAAGTCTGGAACGCTGCAGGAACATTCACGTTGTTCTTTGGGAGCTGCCTGGGGTGTCAAGGTGCAACAGGTTGGGAATAAAGCCCCAGAAAACTCATGGAAATGCATCTTCTTCTGAGCCTGGAAACTCACTGGCCAGCATGAAAAACCATGTCTGGTGCCACCTGGGCACTTCTGCCCCAGCTTTATGGCGGCCTGAACCTTCAGGTGCAGCATGGACAGGGAAACTTTTGGGGTCTTCTCACCTAGCCCAGTCCTGGAGCTGCAGCACAACTGGTTTTCCTGCTAAACCCATGTGCTGGCAAAGTAGAATTGCACCCTGAGGCGAGCCTTGTCATTTAGTTAGGCTGACATCTTGTGGAAGCCTTCCTAGTGCATTAAGAACAACATCCAAGATGATTTTACTGGATGGGGACGTGGGGGCTGCATGACTTTGCTGTGCTGGGGGCCTGGAGGGTGCCAGCCCTGAGCCTGCAGCCCCTGGGACGTGCAGGTGTGGCACTCAGAGCAGCCAGGGAGGGCACTGGGGAGTGTCAGCACCGTGGGGAACACGGGAGCTTTGCTGCTTTTCCTGAAGGTTGTGGTGGTGCTGTGTCACAGGGCTGTGAGGCAGGGACGTGTGGCTGGAGTGTCACCCTGTGTGCTCTGTCACTGAGCCCTGGGTGGGGACACCTGGGACAAAGCCATGGCAGGGATGTGCCAAAGGCTTCAGGCCAGCTGCAGAATGCTTTGGGGAGGGCACTGGGAGGGATGGGTGTCCTTGTCCTCATGGGAGCAAAGGGCACAGTGTGGTGGCACAGTGTGGTGGCACAGCGTGGTGGCACAGCGTGGTGGCACAGCGTGGTGGCACAGCGTGGTGGCTGTCACCTCCCTGTCCAGCAGCTCTGCACCTGGCCCTGGCTGCACATTGTAATTCCTCCTTGTACCAGGGTGAGTGCAGAGCCACCCTTGCCCTCTCTGTGCTGCAGCCTGGCAGGGCTGTGGCATGGCCAGGGGGACAGTGACAGTGCAGGCAGCTTTATTGTCACTCAGGTTCTTGCTGAGCCCTGGCCATGCCATGCTGCCCATTTGCTGTGCTGAGCTGGGGGTGGCTGTGGGAGATTCCTTCCTGCAGCAAAGCAGCCCCTGCTTCCCTTGGATGTGAAAGCTCTGCTGGAATTGGTGTGGGTCACACATCAGTGCTCCCTCTGCCTGGCCTGCAATCAGCCCTGTTGTGTCTGGAATTTGTTGGCAGCCCTGCTGTCACAGTGATGTGCATGGCTGTCCTCTGCAGACACAGAATTAGGCTGGGTGGCAAAGCCAAGCGTGGTTCACCGTGCAGCTGAGCCCTGCTGTCCCCTGTCCCCTGGCAGCAGAGCTCAGAGGTGGCACAGTGCCAGCAGTGCCTGCCCACAGCAAGGTGTGCCAGGCACTCACCTGTCACTCACTCAGCCCCCATCATTAACCTGTTGGACTGACAGCCCAGAAGTCAATTCACAGGCTCCTGAAGCAGAAACCTCTGTGCCAAGCATCCTTTTGGGTGGTGGGAGGCGGGTGGGGCAGTGGTGGCTCTCAGCAGTGGCACATCTGGCTCACATCTGGGTGCTGATTTGGGAGGGGGCACGCTGGGCTCTGCAGGGATGGTGCTGAGCAGGAGGCACTTGTCTCTCAATACCTCTGTGGGCTCAGCTTAACCCAAAGTGATGATGAACCTTTAACAGCAGATGTCTGTGATATTCAGCTACACAAACATATCTTGGAGTGGCTGGTTACAGAACATGCTCTGCTGATCCTGGTGGAGTGCAGCACCAGCACCATGCTCCTGTACCTCTGTAAATCACTCAGGATTAGATTTGAACCTCCACAGCTGTAGGAAAAGCTTGAGTCTGTCCTTTGCTTGTCAGAATTCAGATAGCACACGTACAGCTTGTGACAGAAATGGAGATTCTGCTCCCCTCCCTGTGTACAAATCCCCTTTCTTTGCTTCGAGCATTCAGCCAAGCCCTGCTGGGGCTGGTGGTTGAGCTGGGACTGCAGGGATGTGACAGGGAATGTTTGTGGTGCTCTGCAAGCAGGGCACCAATGGTGGGGGAGGAGCAGAGATGAAGGGGGTGGGGGAAACGAGCGATTTTAACATCAATTCTATCTTCTTTGATAAAGATCTGATTTAATTTAAAGTAAATTTGCAGCGTGGCTAAATTTATTATCCATGATAGCGGTCAGAGTTGGGATATCACACTGCAGAATGATTGGCATGGTCATCATGACCCTATTAAATCTGCTGAATCTATTAGCTGCTCGCTGGCTGCGGGGTTTGTGATTCCCTCAGCAGAGTTTTGTGCTGAATATCTAAAAATCCCATTAGAAATCTGAATATTTGGGCTTCACTCTTGTGAGTCCTCCCAATCTCATGGATGCAGGAGCTGCTGGCTGAGCTGCCTTGTGCTGCTGGGTCATTAGCTGGCTCCTCAGTGAAGGTTCACACCAGACATGAGCACCAGTTTTTAATGGTCACACTAATTGGTTAGTGGAACAAATCACCCAGAAGAGCTAAACTGGCCCTTCCACCAGCTCCTAATGGGGTTTGGATGGCCCCACAGTGTTTATTATGCAGGGGGGAAAAAAAAGGTCAGAAAACTTCAGCTGGGCAAAACTCAACGTTGTTGTCTCCAGGACCTTGGTTGGAATTGGCTGTGATGGTTTAAGGTGTCACTGGCAGCAGGGTTTGGGGTGTCCTGGGTCTGTCCTGGGTCTGTCCTGCTCAGCCCTAATGAAGGAACCCAATTAGTGCTAAATTAGCAGGGTGCTTTATCCTTGCAGCCTTCTGCAGTAAATTCTGCTCATGCTTTTGACAAGCTTCTGAACTCAAACTTCTGCATGCCAACAAGGTGGAAATAAACTGGAGCTGCCTTCCTAAAACGTGGTGGGGTTGGGTTGTGCAGCTCCTTCTGTGCTAGGACGTGGTGTAGTTCCATCAGTGAGAAATCAGTGCTGCTCAGGCTGTAATGTGCTTTTTGGGGTGTTTTGCATAGTGGTCCATTAGTGGAAGGCATCTCTTGGTTTTGCTCTCATCCAAAAGGCATCTGGTGCTGAGCACCGAGGCTGTTGTGGGCTGTGAAGCCAGGGACAGCAAAGTGGAGTTGATGGGTGGCCTCTCCTCAAATCCCTGCTCCTGCTTCTTGTTAAAATGGTAATGTGGGAGCACCCGGGGAGAAGTGAAATGGCACTTGTTGGAAGAGCTGAATGTTTGGCTTTGTGCATAATAGATGAGCACATTTCTCAGATCCAAACACAGTCCTGGGAAAAAGCCCCAGTGCGTGGGGAGGGTGCTGTGGGTTCAGTGAAATGGTCACCTTGCCGCGGGTAAAGAGGCTGAAACACAGGAGGGGAGGCAGCTGCCACTGCCTGGGGCAGATTCTGGGGTCACTGTCCCCTGTCCCCTGCAGGTGCCAGCCCTGCCCACTGCCACCAGCATGCCAGGGACAGAGCCACTGCTCAGGGAGCCTCGTCTGTCACATCCCCTGAGCAGGGCAGCAGCAGAGAGCTGGGTAAATCAGTGCATTAATCTTCACTTTATTTAGAGCCTTCAGCTTTGATTTTTGAATGTAGAGCACAGAAGGGGCCAGTGCCAGGGCTGCTGGAGGCTTGGCAGTGTCACAACGAGCTCCTGGGTTTAGCTCCAGTCACTTTTCAGTTACCTTTTGTGATGAGAATCAAATAACTTGATCATGGCAGTGACAAATCTTCAATAATTCATTACACTCTAATGACATTACAACATCCTGACTCCCTCCTCCCCATTTTTTATTTCTGCTGGAGAGTGGACTTGATGTTTTAGATTCAAGGCTGTTCATCCAAATATTTCACACCAGCCTGTCACCTGGAGAATTGATACCTGGCATACCCTCACTGCAGCACTGCTAAATGGTTTTTCTTCTCAACTGGATAATTATATTGATTGTGGCTTAGGACTTCAGAAATTGGATTGTGGTTGAATAAAGTGTGTTTTGAAACCCTGATATAAGCTGTATTAAAAAGAAAAATCTCCCAGCAAAACCAGACCACCAGCACTCTTATCTGGCTCTTAATTTGATAGGAAGGAGGATATTTTTGACCCAGTGGAAAAGGAAACCCTGATGGAAAAGGGAAGCTGCCCCTGCTGCCTGGCCCTTTGGCCTCTCTAACAACAGGGCTCAGGGAAAAATGTGCTGGATGAAACCTTGGCAGCTCCCCATGGGCGGGCCTGAAGACTCACTTGAAAATGTTAAATTTCCATACCCAACCAATGGTTTAGAAGGATTTGACTTTTGATTCTGAGCTTTTGATTGCCTGCTCAGGAGCAGTGCTGTGTGATCCCTGGGGTGGGGGCATGGAGGGAGCAGTGAGTGCATTATTGGGGAGGTGGAGACTCTGCTGCCAGCGTGCAGAATCGCTTCACAAACCTCAAAAATGGAAAAAGGAACGTTACAATCTACTAGAAACCAATAACAACTGCTTTAACTCGGAGAGCCTGAATTGCTCTTGAGCTCTTTGTGTGTTTTGTTTTCCAGGCTGGCAGGAAGGAAAGGAGTGATGCCCTGAATTCTGCCATTGATAAAATGACCAAGAAAACCAGAGACCTGCGCAGGCAGGTGAGCAGTGGGACAGGTGATGCTGCTGCCTCACAAAAACCAGCCTGGCCATTTGTTTCTACAAAATGGGACACCAAATTTATTCTGCAAAAAATGAGGCACTGGGTTTGTCTTCAGTGAGTTAAAAGCCAGAAGCTTCCAGTGGGAAGCATGGGGGTGGGAATGTAATTCCCTGTTAATTCCCTGTGTGTGATACAGATGTTGGAGTCTTAATCATCCTTATGGCAAAAGAGATTTAAAAACCCAACCAAAACCCCCCCAAAAAACAACTTTCACTTGATGGGCTTCAAAGATAATCAGTGATATTTTATAATTCTGGTGGTGTTCATCTCAACCTGTTTTTTTTTTTTTGAGAGCTGTATTTATGTAGAATCAGCCTTTGTCTGTTTGGTTTTAAAGCAATATATTCCCATTTTTGAGTAAGCGAGAATATGGATCAGGTTTGTTGAAAAATGTTTTTATTCTAGCAGAAAAATAAAAAAGTTAAATCAGTGTGTTGTTTAATCAGCTGAAGGAAAGCAGCAAATTTACTCAGACAAAACCAATATGAGCTGCTAAATCAATATTTGTGGCCAAACTGGTGACTTGCACTTCTATAACTAATCCATTTTTTAAGGAGATTTAATTTAAATTGAAGCAAGAAGTGTGTAGACAAGATTTTGTGCAGGGAAAGCCTCGGTCACACAAAAGAAAAAGGATCAGTGACAAAAGTAGTTTTAAGTTTTACATGTTAATACAGCAAGAGTGGAACACTGCTGAGGAATAACTCATTCTTTTATTTTTATTTTAGCTCCGCAAAGCTGTTATGGACCATGTTTCAGATTCTTTTCTGGAAACAAATGTTCCTCTTTTAGTATTGATTGAAGCTGCCAAGAATGGGAATGAAAAAGAAGTTAAAGAATATGCCCAGGTTTTCCGTGAACATGCCAACAAATTGATTGAGGTAAGATGGTACAAATTAAAATTTAATTGTTGCTAGTTAAATTAAGGCAAGACTAGGCAAAACAGGTTTTTCAATTGTGTTGAAGCACAAAGCAAATTGTGTAATAAATTTCCTTTTAAAATTTTATTTGAATTAACTTAAACACGATTTAATATTTAAATAATTGAAAATGTAAGCTTATCAAAAGGAGCTGTTAAATAACCCATGTAGTTGTGGATATTACAAAGGGAGTTTATGATAAAGGTTTTGTTAATTGGAGGTTGTCACTTGGAGTAAGGGAGACCAGGGCATGATTGTTCTGCTGGACAGTTTGACCCATGGCTTTGAAGCCTGGAAGGTTTGTTTGTTTTTTTTCCAGTAAAATCCCACAAATACAAACAGGCCTTTAGTGTGAAGGCTTGCAGAATGAAGAGCTGCTTGTGTGTGAGTAAAGAGCAAAGAGGACACTTGGGGTGACAACTCAACTGTCCCCTGCCACCCCTCTGTGAGGAAAACCCAAAGGATCTCCAGCTGAGGCAGAGCAGAGCTCTGAGTGGGGGGAAAGCCAGGTGAACTGGGACCAGCCTGGCTGAACTGGGATTATGGAATCACTGAGGCTGGAAAATCCCTGCCAGCTCTGCCCCATCCCCACCTTGTCCCCAGAGCACTCGGTGCCACCTCCAGGAATTCCTGGGACACCTCCAGGGATGGGGATCCAACCCTCCCTGGGCACTTCCAATCCCTGACCACCCTTTCCATGGGGAAATTTTCCCTAAAATCCACCCTGAGCTCCCCTGGCCCAGCCTGAGGCTGTTCCTCATTACCTGGGAGGAGAGACTGAGCCTCCCCTGGCTGTCCCTCCTGTCAGGGAGTTGCTTTCAGGGTCATTAGTGCCTTGCTGACAGGAATTTCCATGGCTGTGTGTGCAGAGAGCAGCCCCAGAGCCTGTCCCTGCTCCTGGATCCACCTTGGCATTCTCAGCCCCTTGCCACCACCTTGGTGAGAGTTGTGTGCCAGCTGAGTGGCACAAACAAACAGCTCTAGGTATTGAAAAGGAAAGAGCTTCCAAAACTCTTCCTGTGCTCCTCTGTCCTTTCAGGCTCTGGCTGGGTGTGTTTGACCTCAGCAGCTCCCAGGGAGCAGTCCCAGGAGCTTGGTGTGTCTGTGTTTGATGATGTGTTCCAAGGCTTGTGGGGAGTACTCACACAGCTGGGCACCTTTAAACTGCTCCAGAATAAGAATAAGAATAAAAGAATAAGAATAAGAAAATAAGAATAAGAATAAGAATAAGAAAATAAGAATAAGAATAAGAATGAGAATAAGAATAAGAATAAGAATAAGAATAAGAATAAGAATAAGAATAAGAATAAGAATAAGAATAAGAATAAGAATAAGAATAATCAGACATCACTAAAAGAAGCTTCTGACTTCCACAATGTGTTTTTTCTGAGTGCACTTTGCAACTGCTCCATAGTCCTGGGTGCAGGAAGTTTGTCCAGCTCTTTTAGAGCTGCTGTCTAAGCAATGAAAATAATTTAATTCCTTGAAGGCATCCATTTTTCTCTTTTGGCTTGTCGTGTTTCAGCATCAGTGCTGTCCTCCTAGAGCTGCAAAGTTATTCTAATCTAAATTTTAAGTAACTGACGTTGTTCTGCAAAGCAGCATGTGGAGGGAAGGCAGGGCTGCTGTGCCCTGCCTTGGCAGCAGGATCCAGCCTTGGGAACACTTTGAAGTGGGTTTGGTCTAAATCCTCCCTTCTTCATGTTGCAAGCCTGATTTATCTAGAAAATTATTTTTAGGGCTTGTTTACAGGAGAAGTTGAATCGTGTAACAATAGCAGTGTCTGTTCTGCCAGAGTTCTGCTACCTCCTCAGCAGATGTGTGGAATTTTTTGGCATAATTAGGAAGGAATAATGGTGCTGCTCTGTCCCTGAGCTTCTCCCCAGCCCTTTCCAGGTGAGCTCTTCCTCCCTGTCCCCTCTGGAGCCGTGTCCCAGCAGAGCAGCCACAGTTCCATCCTCACTGGCACTGGCCCTACCTGGTGTGCAAATACCAGAGGAGTTTTCAGAGCCTCTGTACAGCCAGACTCTCTTGTCTTCCAAGGACTATTCCCCTGAAAGTAGACATTCAGCAATATTTTTGACTGACATCAAAAGCTTTTGCTAAAATGATATGCTGCTGCAACAGCTTTTTGAAGGCTTGGTTATTGCTTTTGCTCTTTGAAATGTAACTGTAGTTGTAGATGGTTTATAAACCTCTTTCCTGAATGGAGATGGATTCATGTACACACTTAGCTTGGACAGGAGGGAGCAGTGTTCCTGCAGAGCCCTGTCCCAAGGGGCAGGAGAGCCACCAGAGCTGTATGGGATGGCAGATTCACTGTGCAGGAACGTGGCTTGGGGTGGGTTGCACTTGAGATGCCAGAATGGAGAAGGATGTGTGCCAGTTCCCTCATGATCCTGCTCTTGGGCAGGAAACTCAGGAGAAACAACAAAAGTTTGTGTGAGAGCAGAGCTGAAGGTGTTCTGCCTGGTGAGATGGGCAGTGATTGCTGCAGGGCAGTGAGTGTGCAGGGGGTTTGTCAGAACTGCCCTCGAGTGTGAGCAGCTCAGGACATCAAATATGCCCAAACACTGCAGCAGAGGATGGAGCTGAGCTGTGGCATGGCCTGGCTGAGACATCATGTCCTTCCTGGAATCCTGAATCCTTCCTGGAATCCTTCCTGGAATCCTTCTTTTCTGGAATCCTTCTTTCCTGGAATCCTCCCTGGAATCCTTCCTTCCTCTCTGGAATCCTTCCTTCCTTCATGGAATCCTTCCTGGAATCCTTCCTTCCTTCCCTGTGAGCTGGAGGACTCAGTGAACCAGCCCCAGAGATACATAATGAGATAAATTCACTTTCATTTCATTTTTCATTCTCAGCTGTGGCCAGACAGGAGAGGCAGTGCTGGTTCTGCCCTGGCTCAGCACAGGGAGTTCTTGTTCCTGCACTGCAGAGCTGTTCATGGGCCCTCCAAGCACCCATAAAGAGATGCAAGCACATGATTTGGGTAATTTCCTTTTGAAATGTTCCCTTCTTGGCAGCACAGCACTGTCTGCTTTTGTGGTTCCTAAAGTCCAGGCTGCCAAATTTGACCAAAAGGTGCAATAACCACAAAAAGCTGATTTGCCTCCTGGGTTTGTGTCTTCTGAAGAACCCATACCAAGAGCATCCCAAAGGGCTCCCATCTAATTTGTTTCCCACGTAGTAAAATCCCAACCCTTTTATCCTGCCTTTTGAAAACTGAGTAACAGTAAAAGAGTAGAATGAGCCTTGTCTCAGTTGAATAATATGTTTCAAAGATAGCTTTCAAAATTGCTCCGTGCTAACAGACCATTAACTCTGGCTGGATTTGGTTAAAGGAGTTTAATTCAGGAATTGAGAAGCCAATTTCAATGTAGCACACCAAGAATAACAGAAAGGACAGCATTTGGGGAAGCAGCCTAACAAAAAAGTTAAATTCACTTGTAAACTATGGAAGTCTTCCCAATTTGCAGATTGTGAACTGCTGACTCCATTCCAGTGGGTTGTTTTTTTTTTTCCCATTGGGTGAGGTAGCCTTGGCTGCCCAGCTCTTGAAGGAAGGGCATCCTTGGAGTGGCTGTTGGTGCCCAGGGCTGTCCTGCAGCCTGGTGCCATCCCAGTGATGTCACTGGCTCTTTTGTCCCTGCCAGCCTTTGAGCTGTGTTTGTGCTCAGCTGCCTTTGTGCTGCTCCCCGGGGATGCTCCTGCAGAGGGAAAGAGCCAGACATGTTCAACAGAAAACCTTTGCCACTGCTGCTGAATGCTTCAGAAAAGTGAAAATTAGCTTGTGGGTTTGTCACTGCTTACACTGAGAGACACTGTAACTCTGTGTGGTTCTGATGGAAAAGTTTTATAGACGTTAAGAAATTAGGAAGTAAAAGGTAAATGAGGACAGAGTCCAGGTTGAAGTCCTCCAGTTTGCTTGCTGAAGAATATTTTGGAGCTTGTAATTCCTTAAAAAGAACAAATGATCTCTTCTTCCTCTGGAACTCCTCACTACCCTTGTGTCAAACGGTTTTTTTCTGTACTTAAATTTTATTTATAAGTTTTCTTCTTACCAAGAGAAATACAGGTAAGACCAAAGAGGCAAAAGCTCTCAGTGGTGTTTCGTAAGCATTGATTTTTATTTTTTTTTTTCTAATTGCCTTAAGTTATCTGAAAAGACTGCTCTGTGCCTTTTTTTAATGCACTGGGTTGCATCTTGCATATGGAGTGATGATTTTCTCATTTTCAGTGAAAGCCATGAACAGATGCAGACGGCAAATTTATTTGCTTGGAAAGAATCACATTTGGGCACTTGCAGCTCCATAAGCTTTCTGTAGCCTCTTGCTCTGACATTTTCCCCCTTCTGTTGCCCTCACTGTCTAGCCCCAATGTCCTGGAGTCATTCTTCAGTCTAAAATCTAAAAATACCCCTCTCCCAAAGCCTGAAGCCTTGCTACGTTTTTCTTGCAATTATCCTGATTTGCTCAGACTTGCAGCCTGTATGTTCTTCTCAACAGCTGCAGGTTTTTTTTACATGTGAAAGGCTTTTTTAAAATGTGAAGTGGATAAAACATAGCTTGGATTTCAAATAAAATCTGATTTTTGGGCTGGAGGTACCGTGATGGTCTTGAAGAGCTGAGGCTTGGCTGTCCCCTGCTCATTGTCACTTACCTGGGCATGGCCAGGTAGCATTTATGACAAAACATAAAATGGAAGAATCCAGCAAATCCAGCAGTTAATCTGCTCTGACAGGATTATCCTTTGTGTCTGTCAGCCCCCTGATTTCCAGAGTTCCCACTGAGTTTTCCAAACCTTTTTGGAGGTTTGCTCATCCTTGCAGTGCTGTCCCCTCCTGGCTGCCAGGCAGGGATGAGCACTTGGCACCCAGCTCAGATATTGGCTTGGAGTGTTTTTCTGAATTTTATTAAATCTCAAAACCCAGCATTTTCCAGACTAGGGTCATTACCAGAGCA